TTTGTGTTTTATATTAAGCTCTTTTTAGGGATGTATTTCATTTTACTGTACATTAACCTTTATTTAATTTCTCTTTATTTTTGGTTCTAGAATAGTACGAGGGTAAGAGATTAATTTATTTTTGCAAGAAGATAAATGCTCGATATGTTTATGTTCCGTGCCCTGTAAGGTATTGGCTGTGTACCAGAGAGAGAGAGGATTGTTGCAGTGGAAAAGTAAAGAGCAGTGAAAGTCTCAACCACAATCCCGAATCCAGCGTATGGTGCCTCCTTCCCTCCAAATGACACCACACAACACCTAGCAAAACACAACGCAGAGTCCAGTGGAGGCCTTACATACATTTATTTTTAAGAAAAGAAAATGCCAGTTGTGAAATGTTCTTCTGATACCATGCTACTCCTCTATTCTACCTGTAGAGACAAGGGGGGTGGTATATTTTTTCTGAGGTCTAAGGGAATAAATAAATGACCTTTTGTGGTAAAGCAAATGTCATGGGGTCTAACAGCCAATGATGATTTTCTGTGATTGATTCAGCAAAATGCACGTTTTAGCATTCCTGTTTTCATCCTGACTGAAGATTGTTTTATGTTTCCACATTTGGCAATGGGTTGTGGTTCCAATTTTATATTTGTCTGTTTCTCCCAAATCAAATTGACTGTTACAAGGGTTTTTCAAATGATAAGATGGGGTTTATTCCAAAAGTGTTGCGTTTTTAATGTGGATCACAAATCGGGTACAGTAAATTGTGGTAATTTTTGGCGGCTGTGGCTCAGGAGGTAGAGCGGGTTGGGCGTTAATCGGAAGGTCGGCGGTTCAATCCTGGCTCCCCCTGGTTGCGTGTCGAAGTGTCCTTGGGCAAGATACTGAACCCGGAATTGCCCCTGGCGGCTATTCCGCTAGTGTATGAGTGAGTGTGAATGTTAGTTTCCGTTTGAGCACTTAGGCTCAGTGTGTGAATGCAGATGTAGTGTAAAAGCGCTTTGAGTGGTCGAAAAGACTAGAAAGGCGCTATACAAGTACAGAGCATTTACATTTAAATCCAGGACCACAATACTAAATTCTGGTGGCTCTAGCAGGCTAGTGCCATTCATGGATTATAATTTTTCGTTTTGTGGAGATCTCCACCCCAGACATGGGGAAACAGCTGGCCATTGACTGATTTGATTTTTTGATTTTGAACTGGGCAGACACATTTTTCACTGACTTAAAAGCATTTTGACTGACCTTTTGACTGACTTTAATGACTTGAAGCAGGATTCTGTCCAGCTCTTTTTCTTTTTTGTTTCAGACTGCTTGACTCAGCTAAATATTTGTATCTTCCTAACTTTAACTCTGTTTTTCGTTTTGTAGATGGAGTCGGTGGTGCAGCTATGTGACTTGATTTAGCATGTGTTTCTGTGTTTTCTTTGTCACCTCTAGGAACAAGACAGCACATCCAGTATGCATTAAATGGTCTTTTATCTTCTACAGGTCCTGCACAGTGCCCACAAAGGTTTTCAAGCCAATCTATTGTTTGCATTCTTTTCTCACCTGCCTTCTACTTCTGTATGCAAATGATGGGCCCATACAGGTTTATAAGGACTCAGTGATGCTGCCCTGCTTTATCCAAACTGCAGATGCTTTCTACTGTATTTTTGTCCCTTTAAAGATGTCTCCTAGCTTTGATACATGGTTCTTAACCATGTATCAAAACAAGGAACAAGACACATTGATACATGGTTCTTAACCATGTATCAAAAGGAGGGAGGGGAAATATTATAAATATTATGGTGCGCACCAAGGTTTTTTGGGGGGTTTCTAATTCTTTCTGAGTGGTGTGTTGAAAATTTTGTGTTGAAAATTGTTGAAACTAATTTTGCATTCTACTAATGACCACTCACACATAAGCATTAGAGTCCTTATAGGAATGAGTAACAATTTTCTTCTAAAGGTTTATTGTCTCCTAAGAGTCTAGAGCAACAGTTTTTTTTTATCCACAACATCCAGACAGGCAGAGAAAGCAGTGAGACCATCACCAGGCATTCAAGATCACCTCAGGTGATACGGACAACTTCAATTGGAAGTCCCCTCCCAGAAGAGTTGAGAGAAACATGTGAACCCGTACATCCCAACACGAGACAACCTGAGAGATGGAGATGGATGGAAAAATTCTGCTGCAAGACAACGGCTGTAGTGTTCACCATCGTCCTGGTCAGCACGTTTTAGAGTACTTCAACTCTGGTCACTAGCCCAGCAAGACGTTTTCCTACAAATCTAGGAGCTCTCAACAAACAAACTCCAATAGTACTTCTAACCACAACACCCACACAGATTACAGACACGGACTGTTTCACACAAGGAAGGAAAAAATAACCAGTGAAGATGCAGGAAGAGGATGCAGAGGGGAGATGACATTGGCGCAGGAGGAACAGGACAGAAGAAGAGGGATTCATAATAACTACAAATAAACCATGTAATCAAAGAGAAGACAATGACTATGTTTCTGGAGTATTCCTGTTTTTGAATTACATGAATTACAAAGATGATCTGTTGGTATATTTGTTTTAGTTCTTTCTTTATTTTTTCAGCAAATGCTATTCATGTTTTTAATTCTTGTTTCTTTTTTTTTCTTTCTAATGTTATTTTTGTGGTTTTGTATGCAGGTTTTATTATGCATATTGCATCATTTTAGTTACTGTTTTCTTTCCAACAAATGGGTAAATGACCAATTCTAGCCCCCAGGGTATTATGACCATGCCATGCATGTAGGCTATTTTAACTCCTGTAATTAGTGTTTTCCTGAGATCATTCTACATTTTTTTAAACTTGCCCAACACATGTAGGTCAGCCTTATTGTACAGATGATATAGGTTTTTACAAATCTAGTCCTTCATATTTTTTTATATTTTTTCTTTTTTCTTTGTGTTTCTAATTCATTGTTTGAACTATTCATCAAACATTAAATGTTCTCATTTCTCAATTTTTGTATTACTACTAAGACAGTTTTACAGTGAATCCTACCATTTTGTTTTCTCAAAAATATTTTATTGACACTTTGTGTCAAAAGGAGGGAATGTGAGAAATACATAATAATTTTTTAGAATTTCAGTGTAACTAACTTGTAAGAAACATCTCTGATGCTTTATACATTTTTTGCCTTTTATTTGTCTTCTTCTGCAGGAAGAAAACATTCTCTTCTGTAACAGTTTCTTTAGGGATCCGTCCAGCAAGTGAGGTCTGTATTCAGGACAAAGAAAGTTCAGCGCTGAGAAAGTTGTCTCCTATCACCGCTCAAGCAGCTGTGGAAATACAGGGTTTGATTTACCTCCTTAAAATCCCGTGAAGAACTGGGAATGGCAACAAGGGTTTGGAGGTGTTCGGTTTTATACCTCCGTTGACAAAATGTACTTCCTGGGATTACTCTGCCCCCTGAAAGATTCAGTCAATACAAACCTTTGGTTTGGTTATAAAAGTTAAGAGTTCACAGGTGGGTGTGTATTAACTGACCAGGGCAACATGCAAGCGCAGCCAATAGTGGCTCTGCTTTTAGGTCAGAGTCACCATTTCGTGCCTAGGTGTGAAACGGGCTTTGGCGCCTGTTTTACAGTCCTTTGTCTGAGATAACTCTAAACTCAGGCTTTTGGGACTCCAACAGGTCGAGGACGTCGCAAGGCCCATTCTTTGTTCTCTAGCTTGTCCACTGTCTACAGACTTGCATGACAGGCTCCTCAGTGACCTGAAGGCCCATTTTTGTTATCATGCATACATACATGGAAGTGCCATTGAAGTTTGCCAGTGTGGTCATTTTTGGGTCTTTGCTGTTGATTTCTGCCTCCGGCTTTCCACATAGGTGTGTAGGAGGGCATGGATATCCCAGAACAAAGCCATACTGCCAAACATAACTTACTGAAAGCAAATATTAGTTTCTTTGATGAAAGTTGTCCTGACTGAATTGCTCTATATCAAACAGAAGTCCAGTAACACGGCTACTGAACACAAGTTCGCTGCTGGGTTCCTGTGTGATAAAGGGACAATTATTGTGTCGTGCCGTGGCAATTAGGATCTTATGGACCATTGCTTTGTATTCCTTTTCCACCTTTCTCTTCATTTATCAACCTTTACACACACACACACACATATATGCCATATGCGGAATTGAAACATACACATCTGCAACCCATAAACAGTGTGGTAGCCTAAATCAGTTGTGTTTCATGACTTCTTAGAGAGGACGGGTAGAGTGCGTCCTTCATTTTGTTTCCTACCCTTTTGTTTAAACCTTACAGGCCTGATCGCCACTTTGGTGCAGACCACATGGCCCCCCTCTATTACCCCTTCACACACATACACAATCACACACACACACCTGCACCACATTTTTGCTAATTGTTGGATGCTTTGATTGCGAGTGGTTCATTGGCTGAAGTTATTTATTTTTGATCAGTGCGACAGTTAAATAAACCTTATTGTACCTTTAAAGGGCAGTCACCTATTGTTATTTGAGTATGTGTTGTAAAACAGCTGGTTGTGACGATCAGTGCTCAGATTTACCCTTCACTGTCAACATTGTTAATGTAAGATTTAATGTAATGTAAGTGTTTAAATACTGGCATTTCTAAGTGAATAAAACCCTTTTTGAGACAGTTTTCACACATATAGTTATCCTATCCAATGATGGTGCCCCTTGAATATTCATCTTTAGTTAACATTTTAGTGGTCTTAATAACTTTATTAATATTTACCACCAATCTTTGATTTTTGATAATAACCAAGCTACCCTAGTAGATTGTCAACAAAAGGGGATTCAAACACAGATAGGATTGAAGAGAAAGCAATGAAGATGATGATGGTGTGATATGAAGAAGAAGAGAGGAGGGACATCAGTGTCCAACAGAGACTGAGAGCAAGAGGAGAGGAGGGACAAACTGAATGTCAGAAAGAGATAAATCAACTGTATGATAAAGCGTTCTGGTCAGAAGCTGCCAGAGCTGCAGCTCCTCTTTTCCTCCTCTCACTGTCTGATGGAGGTTGATGACGGAGCAGAGCTCTGCTTTCCACAACTCCTCAACACCTCCTGCAGGAAGCCAACACTTCCTTGGTCCGAAGCTGTATTTTTGTCCTCCATCTCTCTGCTCACTGTGACTCTCAACCTGCTTGTCATCATCTCAGTCTCCCACTTCAGGCAGAGATCAATTTCTCAGCAGAGGCTTCACTTATGAAGTTTTAGATATGATAAATGTACTTTAGGCTAGTATTGTTTCTATTTATTGACAAATCTTGGATACTGTATGTAAATTATGCTTTCCTCTTTCCCTCCAGGCAGCTCCACACACCCACAAACATTCTCCTCCTCTCTCTGGCTGTCTCAGACTTTCTCGTGGGCCTCCTGCTGATGCCGGGAGATTTCCTCCGAAAAACAGTCTGCTGGTTTCTTAGTGACCTCATGTGTTCTCTGTATATTTATGTATCGTACATTATTCCCTTTGCCTCAATAGGAGACATGGTGCTCATATCAGTTGACCGATATGTTGCTATTTGTGACCCTCTGCATTATACCACCAGAATCACTGAGAAAAGAGTTAAACTCTGTGTTTGTCTGTGTTGGTTCTGTTCTGTTTTCTACAGCAGTTTCTTTGTAAAGGATGACCTGACTCAACCAGGCAGGTATAATTCCTGCTACGGAGAGTGTGTGGTTGTTGTTGACCCCATTGCTGAAGCAGTTAACCTTGTTTTGACCTTTATAGTTCCAGTCATTGTCATCATCGTTCTTTATATGAGAGTGTTTGTAGTGGCTGTGTCTCAGGCTCGTGCCATGCGCTCTCACATTACAGCTGTCACACTCCAACGTTCAGAGACTCTAACAGCAAAGAAATCTGAGCTGAAAGCAGCCAGGACTCTTGGGGTTCTTGTAGTTGTGTTCCTAATTTGTTTATTCCCATATTATGGTGTGACTCTTGCAGGGGACAGCTTAATTAATATCTCATCTGTAAACTTTGTGATATATCTGTGTTATTTAAACTCTTGTCTAAACCCTGTGATTTATGCCATGTTCTACCCCTGGTTTAGAAAATCGGTTAAACTCATTGTTACTCTTCAGATTCTGCAGCCTGGCGCCTGTGAAGCTAAAATATAGTAGAGAGACTGTGGTGTGATTGAAATAAGATCGGCTCTACAGTGTTTTCAATGAATTCAAAATCCAAAAGTGGAAGTGAAATTTATTTCTTCTCTGTCTTTAAAAAGCTTATACACAGTATATTTATGTATTAACCAGTTGGTAGAAAACTAAACCATTTTTGTACCTAACCCCTATAACCCCCAAATATGACAGAGGATGTGGGTCTAGTCTGTGCGAGGAGAAATTGGAACAGCATTCATGTACAAAATGACTGTTACCTGCAACATGTACATTTTAGATCCACTTGACAATTATCAATACTTTGTGCTACAGACACTTTTCATTTTGAATAAAAAGTGTTACAAATATCTATAAACTCAAATGAATATACACAAATTTGTATATGACATTTTATAATTTAGATCAATAACTAACCACTTCTGAATAAAGAATGAATAATCTGAATAATTAGATCATAATATCATCTATATCATGAGCACCATGCACTTTTTCTCTATTCAGTTCATCTACTTTCATCCAGTAAGCTGTGAATTGACAAACATGATGCACATATTAAGTTATTTCTCTCAGGAAACCTTTTTCCGTTGTGACAGTAAACATTGCAGAGCAACACAACAACAGTACTTCTACTGTTATTTACATTGTGGCTGATGTAACAACACTCTCACATGCTTTACAGGTATCAAATTCCACCAGCTTGACTGCGTGGTTATTAAACTGAAATGAACGGAATTAAATAAGCATGTTGAAATCATTTTGCGACACATTATTTTGATGCACACCAATAAGGTAGACCCAACAGAACAACACAAAACTAAACATAAATTTAGAAATACAATGGGCCTCAAGTTTTTCTTAGATTTGTTCTTAAGAAAGTACCTAAGAAATGTCTACGTTTGATTTATGACAGCAATTTGTTCGCAGCTGTGTTCTTAGAATGATCCATATTCTTCAACTTGTTCTCACTCCCAACTTGTCACATATGGACACATGGTCAAGACCTGTCGACACACTAGGGATCCCCATAGCATCATAGTTCAACTCAATGGGGAAAGCCCTGTAGCATCACTTTTGATCGGTAAAGGTAGGTATGTGATATTTAATAAAAAGGACAGAGTATGGTGGTGGTTGGGGTGGATGGAGGATTTTCAATGAAAAACTTTAAAAAGCAGTTTAAAAATGTAAGTATAGCTGCAAGAAGTAAGCAACAATCGAGCTATCATATTATGTAGAGAAAGCAGTGGATATAACGCTAAATAAACAACAATGCATGGAATGAAATTACTCATGAGAATGGGGAGTAATTAATTACTCTTGAACTTTGACCCCAAGTAGTCTAGACCTAGGAGTGTATTTATTTTAAAAACCATATAACCATATACTTCTGTTATAATTCTGAATAATGAAAATAATAACTTAAAGTATGAGTGAAATGGTAAATATTTTAATTTAAATAGGATGGAAGAATGTCAGCTTTCAATTGGACTTCTCTTGAGTGAGCGTAGATTATGCTAACTAATCCCAACCCATACAACGTGTGTATGTGGGCCCCACATGGGTCAAAAATGTGTTAGACATGAGCAAACATGGTAAATCCCATATAGGCTGATTACATGGGTCTGAGGTAGTTCACACATAGTTAATCATTAAATAGGTTCAGAATGGGGAAATACACATGGCAAACCCACTTGGAAAAACCATATGGGTAAGACATGGGCAAACACAGGCAAGGTTGGTCAGCAATGGGAAAGAGGATATATAGGATCAGGGTGGGTGATGGGTCAAGACCGCATAGTGGTCAACTGCATTGGTTACATATGGGCAAACACAGGTCAAACTCAGTAGCTTTTTGTGTGGTACCAAGCAGGCGGTTTCAGTGTGGTAAATGCATATGGGGCCTATTTAGGCAAACCATGTGGGTAAGACATGGGCAAGTACATACAAAACATAGGTGAGTGGGTATATGGGTAATGGGAAATGAGTACATAGGCTCAGTATGGGCAACACAAATGGGGCCCCATTTGTGTTATCAAAATGGGTTAGACATGTGCAAAGCCTACCACGGACCCAAAGGCTAATTACATGGGTCTGAGGTAGTACACAAACAGGTAATCAACATATGGGTTCAGAATAGGAAAAATCAGTGTATGGGAAATACACATGGGGCCAACCTGGCCAACCCATCTGGGTAAGATATGGGCAAACACAGAGAAAACATATGTGGGTTGTGTAGGCTCTGAATGGGCAACATAAAGATGGCCCATTCTGGTAAAGAATATAAGACTCTCAACCTTTATAAACTGTAAAAAAAGTAATAAAACTGTCAACTGCAACGTGTACTCTATCTAATATGGTATGTTTTTTTAAATCTTTTTTTATAATAATGTTATGTTCATGATTTATAAATCCTAATTCTGGTCAGTTTTAAAAATATTTTTTATTGATTTATTTAAAGTCATATTACTTTTTCCTGATTCTTTGTATACCATTGTGTTGAGTAATTGTGTGCACTGTTTGTGTACTTGAATGTTTTCAATAAAGATTGGAGACAAAAAAATGAGTTAAGGAGAGGGACATGCATATTGCGACATCCACAGACTTTGCGGTCTTTCTCATCCTTTGTTCACCGAGAGCCCAGAGCAAGTGAGCTGCCAGCAGAAGACAATCAAACAAACCTCTACTGCGGTGAGTACATATGCCAGTTTAATTGTTTTTGATTAGTTATTTTAATAAACCGTCTTATGCAATGAAAGTATTAGGTTTTTTTTTTATAAAGAAGCTACAACACTGGGAATGCTAACTTTAGCCAATTTGCTAATTTAAATATAGCTAACATTAGCTAGTACAAATCAGCATGACATACTGATACACTGTTGTTGTTCAGACAGTCTTAACTGTTACCCGAAATCAAATGCAGTAGTTGAAGTTTAACCGTAAAACATCTGTCGATCTTTTTTAAATTTCTTTATTTTTGGTTGAAGGACAAAACGTTTTTGCAGTGAAGTTCAGCAGCTGCTCTGATGCCGCTTTTTTGCTGCATGCGTTTTTCTTTTTCTTTAATGAGGATTAGTCATACAGTCTATGGGATTAGTTAAATATTTGGTAATTTTCAATCAAACAAGGTGTTTAATCAAGGACATACATAGCTAACACTCATTTTTAGAATGGTTAACCTTACAGCACATTCGGGTTTAACGTTAGACAAAAGCAGCCTTTTGCAGCATTTAATGAGGCTCCTTTCAGAAAGTTACTGGGACTGTAACGTTAAGGTTATTTAACATTGTGTGAAAGTGGTTTCCCCTGTCATGCCATGTTGTTTAACGCTGTGTCCTACAATAATCCTGGCCTTATAGTTTACTGAAGTTAACTTTATAACATTACCCTTTTTACACCAAAATGTGCGAGTGACATTTATGTGCATTTGTGCATGATTGACTTCTTTCCGATTGCCAGTAGCTTGGACGTTTTGGCCTTTCAGTAGGAAAAAAAAGAGAAAAGATTGGCCTTTCATTTTTTTTCAGGCGTGTCACATTTGACGTCACGACCACAACGGGGGAAAAGCAGCAGCATGCAACATGGAGGCCACCTCCGCTGCTGCAACCTGTCCAATCGGATATTAACCTTGCATCACTCCCGATCGGAGCTGATGAATACCCGTTACTACTACAGTCATTTGATCAGGAAGTGAATGTCTATTAATGAAGATTGAAACATTGCGTTACCCTCTTTCATTGAAGAGAAAAGCCAGATATTAGCTGATGTTAAATAATAATAACCAATTACTTGGAGCTTACAGCTTGTTCTTTACAGTAAATCATTCAAAAGAATCTTGTTCATCTGTTTTACATACAAAAAATATTTTTAGTTTACAGAATATGGTGCAATGTTACAGAACAAATTACTCAACAGTATAAAAAGTTAAAATATATTTTATTTAACCAGTCACAACAAAAAATGTTGCGATCACAATAACGCATTTGTAAAAATATTGACACTATATATTGACACTAGGGGCCATTCTGCTGCCAACTGAGTAATTTAACTCTTAACAGTATAAATGTTTTATGTGGTTTTTGCTGCTAATATGTCTACAGTGTACTTTAACTTGAGTTAGATTTTGAATGCATGACTATAAATTGTATTGGAATAATTGTACCCAAAGGTATTGCCTCTTTTGCTAGTAAAATGTCTGAATAGTAATTTCACCACTGCCCTACAAAAAAATGGTTACATTTATTGAAATATAGACTGAAAGTTATTTTGTTGTTGAGTGAACATAATCATACAGTATTTCAATGTGCCTCCTTTTAACTCTTTGTCACTGTTTAATTCCCCTACTACATGTAAGTAATTTGAATTTAATGTTTGCTATGTCTGACTATAGAGTTTTACCCAGGATATTGAAATCGGACAGACTTATCTCATTATTCATAGTTGCAATGTTTGATTGTCTGAGGGTGGAACGAGTAGTACTTTCTGAGGGGTTCATTGGTACTTTAATGGAGGGAACTCAATGTTCGCTGCTAATCAAAAAGCACTGTCCTAGAATACAACGCAGTGATTGGACTGTAAATGGAGAACATTTTTTCTATCAGTTTTAATTAATAGTTGGCAGTGTTTCCCCTAGGATGGAGTTGTAGCAGCTGAGGTGAGGATTTTTGTCTGACTATAAAACCCCACAACATGTCTCAGCAGCATTGCCCTTGTGTCCATGAGCATGCCATGCACATTAGAAAAGCTTTAATGTGATCTTAAGATTAATGTTTTGGTGGTGGTGGTGGTAGTCATGGAAGTCAGTTACATAGAGCCATAAAACTTAGCCTACTGTATAACATTAAGCTTCCAATGCTCAGCTGCACAGTCTGAAGGTGACAACAGACACACTTTTCTTGGTCTTGATAAGCTACCACACTGTAACCGACACATACATTTACTGCCAGAATATTTTCCTCAGCTTGTGTTCACCGTCACTTTCTGCTACTCGCTATGCACCTCCT